ATGGCGAATTAGAAGCTGTTCTCATAAACTGATCTCAAGCTGATGACCGTCTCAGTCTCTGTCTGAAACTCAAAGTTAAATAAAAATCATTAGAGACGCCAGAATTCTCTATTACATTCTGTTGTGCTCCTATGCACATGATGTTCAAATATGTTGTGCTATGGTATGCTGAGGAAATCTCTCTCTCTCTTTGAAGGGCCTTTTTATTTTAAAAATGTGCATTTTTCTGTTTGCTTGGAGGCATTTGTAAATTGCAGTGATAAAATAACTTGAAATTTTCAACATCTTTTTACATAATTTATTTCTGCACCAAATTATGGAGAGTAGTATGGATAACTGTATCGATAAGCAGTATCGTATCGGTATCGATAACATGTAAACGATACCCATCCCTACACCGGGATCGATTGCAAAATCCACCGAGGGGGGCCCCCCGGGACCACTAGCTGAGGGCCCCCAAAACACTAAACACGCCCCTGTATATAGCGTTCTGCTGTGGTCAAGTCAAGTCACCTTTATTTATATAGCGCTTTTAACAATACAGATTGTGGTATTGAGAATTGGAAAATTTTGCTGTAGATGTCATAGTTATTTACAGAGAATGCATATTTGATATAAAGCCTATTGCTATCTTTAAATTAATCACTCAAATAAAGTTTTAGTCATATGACCCTCTAAGAATCGTCTTAAATAATCATGACTACAATATTGACCAAAATAATCGTGATTATGATTTCTGCCTTCATCGAGCAGCCCTAGGCCGAGGAACTGTGTTTGACGCCGAGATGATTTTAGCAATCCTGTAAGATCATTGCATGTCACACTGATGATCACGCTGTATCGTAGGCTATCTTTGGTCGCAAGACTTTGAACCTCTCTCACTGTACGACACAGGAGCACCGATCACAGAAATCACCACGATTGTTTCACGACGCCAATCGTTCGTCTGGGACAGTCGGAAATCATGCAGAGTGTCTTAAGTTAGCGTCTGTAGTAACGTGCCAATACACTTTGAGGAAAGTAGAGCAGAAAACTTGGTGAAAAATGGGTTTGCAAATATTTCTTCTCTCTGCTCTAAAGTTATTGTACCGTCTCAGGCTTGTTTGGCGAGGCTTTCAAACTGGAACAAAAGCTGAAGATCTGAAACGCCTTTTGTTGTCGCCGCCGCCTCAATTTTACGCGCCGCGTCAACTTTGTGTTTTCTGCGCGTTTGGTTTGGCCCTCGAAAAGGGAATTGAAAATAACAAGGCGCGCATCCTCCACAGACACAGACATGTGTGAAAATCTGTCCGTGTGCTTGCGTGCCGCCCACGCGCTCCCGCCAACGCAGAAGAGCGGGAGAGAGAGAGAGAGGAAGTGCCGAGCGTCGCCATGGCAACAGCCGCATCTCTGTCGATGGAGACGCCGCGCGAGCCGAGCCTGAGCGCTGGAAGAAGTGCTGCAAAGAAAGTTTTCCTGCAGCTCAGACAAGGTCATGGGTTCGAGTCCCCGAGAACTGAGAAAAACATGTATACACACTCAGGATAATATGGATTAAGATGTATTTAAATTGCATGTAAAATTTACATGCATATGGATCATGCAGTTTCAACATCAACTAATGAACCTAATCCATATTTGTGACCCTGGAGCACAAAACCAGTCATAAGGGTCAATTTTTTGAAATTGAGATTAATACATCATCTGGAAGCTGAATAAATTTGCTTGGAGGCATTTGTAAACTGCAGTAATAAAATAACTTGAAATTTTCAACATCTTTTTAGATCATTTATTTTTGCACCAAATTATAGAGAGTAGTATGGATAACTGTATCGATAAGCAGTATCGTATCGGTATCGATAACATGTAAACGATACCCATCCCTACACCGGGATCGATTGCAAAATCCACCGAGGGGGGCCCCCCGGGACCACTAGCTGAGGGCCCCCAAAACACTAAACACGCCCCTGTATATAGCGTTCTGCTGTGGTCAAGTCAAGTCACCTTTATTTATATAGCGCTTTTAACAATACAGATTGTGGTATTGAGAATTGGGAAATTTTGCTGTAGATGTCATAGTTATTTACAGAGAATGCATATTTGATATAAAGCCTATTGCTATCTTTAAATTAATCACTCAAATAAAGTTTTAGTCATATGACCCTCTAAGAATTGTCTTAAATAATCATGACTACAATATTGACCAAAATAATCGTGATTATGATTTCTGCCTTCATCGAGCAGCCCTAGGCCGAGGAACTGTGTTTGACGCCGAGATGATTTTAGCAATCCTGTAAGATCATTGCATGTCACACTGATGATCACGCTGTATCGTAGGCTATCTTTGGTCGCAAGACTTTGAACCTCTCTCACTGTACGACACAGGAGCACCGATCACAGAAATCACCACGATTGTTTCACGACGCCAATCGTTCGTCTGGGACAGTCGGAAATCATGCAGAGTGTCTTAAGTTAGCGTCTGTAGTAACGTGCCAATACACTTTGAGGAAAGTAGAGCAGAAAACTTGGTGAAAAATGGGTTTGCAAATATTTCTTCTCTCTGCTCTAAAGTTATTGTACCGTCTCAGGCTTGTTTGGCGAGGCTTTCAAACTGGAACAAAAGCTGAAGATCTGAAACGCCTTTTGTTGTCGCCGCCGCCTCAATTTTACGCGCCGCGTCAACTTTGTGTTTTCCGCGCGTTTGGTTTGGTTTGGCCCTCGAAAAGGGAATTGAAAATAACAAGGCGTGCATCCTCCACAGACACAGACATGTGTGAAAATCTGTCCGTGTGCTTGCGTGCCGCCCACGCGCTCCCGCCAACGCAGAAGAGCGGGAGAGAGAGAGAGAGGAAGTGCCGAGCGTCGCCATGGCAACAGCCGCATCTCTGTCGATGGAGACGCCGCGCGAGCCGAGCCTGAGCGCTGGAAGAAGTGCTGCAGAGAAAGTTTTCCTGCAGCTCAGACAAGGTCATGGGTTCGAGTCCCCGAGAACTGAGAAAAACATGTATACACACTCAGGATAATATGGATTAAGATGTATTTAAATTGCATGTAAAATTTACATGCATATGGATCATGCAGTTTCAACATCAACTAATGAACCTAATCCATATTTGTGACCCTGGAGCACAAAACCAGTCATAAGGGTCAATTTTTTGAAATTGAGATTAATACATCATCTGGAAGCTGAATAAATCAGCTTTCCATTGATGTATGGTTTGTTAGGATAGCACAATATTTAACTGAGATACAACTATTTGAAAATCTGGAATCTGAGGGTGCAAAAAAATCTAAATATTGAGAAAATCATCTTTAAAGTTGTTCAAATGAAGTTCTTAGCAATGCATATTACTAATCAAAAATTAAGTTTTGATATATTTACGGTAGGAAATGTACAAAATATCTTCATGGAACATGATCTTTACTTAATATCCTAATGATTTTTGGCATAAAAGAGAAATGTATAATTTTGACCCATACAATGTATTGTTGGCTATTGCTACAAATATACCCCAGCGACTTAACACTGGTTTTGTGCTCCAGGCTCACATTTGTCAGTCATACACAAATTAAACATAAATAAAATATTTTTAATGTTTTATTTTTGTAATTTTTTAGAGTCAGTTATTTTAGTACATCAGGTTAAACTAAATGAAAACGAGAAATGTTGCCTTGGCAACGAGCTGAAATAAAACATTAAAAAAACTTATTTCAGTCTATGTTTATTTGAAGTAACAAGAAAAACATGGCATAGTTTATTAACTATTTGCAACTATTTGATTTCATTTAAATCTTATTTTCAGAGTGCATGTATTCAAATTGCTTAAAATCAGCGTACATTTATTTTGTTAAAAAGTATGAACATGGTTAAAATATGACTAACTGTTGAACAAGCAATATTTAATGAGTTAAAATGCATGAGATAGATAGAATGTGGATTTATTGATGAGAAATATATGAATATATAAGCTGGTTATTGATTATTTAAAACACATTCATTATTATTTATTTATCAGTTTATCAGTACTACAACAGAAATCTGACCTGTGTGACTGACAAATATGCATCACATTAAGTTTATGTTAACACTGTGTAATCCAAATGGAGTTTATATGCAATTCAAATGCATAAATCTTAAATTTAGGCCTTAATTTTTTTTTTAAATGCACTTTATTTTGAAACACATTTTCTGAGAATGTGCAAGACGTCTGATTCATTAGTCTCTGTATGTAAATAAAGTGCTGTAAACTCTATACTAGTGTTTATAATTATGACAACACCATATACTAACAAGATAGGAAATACCATTTTGCAATAAAGCAGCATTTACATTTTTATGCAAATGTCATATGCTTGTATCCAAAGCGACTAACTGCATTCAAAAACATCTGATCAGATCTTGCTTCCCTGGGATTGGAACCCATGACCTTGGTGTTGCATACATATAAACGTAAAGTTCTGAGGTTCGTAAGACGTGGTTATCCTCCACTATTTAAACCGCTGGTCTGATCTGGAGCAGAAGTTTCTCAAACTAACGTCAGTGTCGTTTAAAGCCCTTAATGCAATTAAAGCACTGCGAGCAGCACAAAGCACTAATGAGGCAATGATCATGAAACGAGAACAACGACAATAACAAGTTTGGCTGGAGAGCCTAATTATGTTCAGACATTTTATTTTCATCAAGTCCGAATTGAAATTCTTACATAGGCTTGACATTTAGATCCTGGTCAGACGCATGAGATCGACACGGATAATTAACAGCACTTCATTCAGCACAGACTGACAACACATGATCAGACAGACGTCTACATTAATGTCACTGAGGCTCGAGCAGAAGCACATGTGTTGAGACGATCAGAGCGATATAATGTCTGATCGGAACACAGACTGATAACATGATGCTGAACATCGATCTGGACTTTACTCTCTTCTGCTAGTCGAAGCGTAACATGTGTGTGTGAGAGTGTGAGTGTGTGTGTGTGAGTGTGTGTGAGAGTGAGTGTGTGTGTATTTATTATGGGCTCTGCTTGTCTGTATATAGTATGATTTATTAATAATGTGTTTACTGAGTTTGGTCTTTTAAAAACTCTGTATTAAGGCATTAAGCCACGTTAAGCGTGTTTCACGTGAAGCGTTTTAGAATGTCCCTGTAAGAACAGGACTCCAGCACCAGCGGCCTGGTTTCGTGCCGTTTCTCGTCGATCGCTCAGAAGAAGGAGGTGTCGGAGGAAAAGACGCCGGCGAGCCTGAACTCGTCTCGGGTCAGCACGCAGAAGAGCCGCTGCGGCAGGGCTTTGGAGTACGGCGCGGGCCGCGGCACACAGGTGCGCAGCAGAACCTCCCGTCCAGCAGGGGGCGGGAAATCTGGAACCGCTTTCCTGTCGTCTGTCCCTCCAGAACGACCCGCCTCGTCCTCCAGCGGCGCCAGCAGAGCGGCCTGAACACAAGACAGCAGATCTCACATCAGTCCAGCTGAAGACGGCACAGAAACACATCTGAGAGTCAGAGGATCTTCTCGCCCAGACTCAAACGAGCACGTTGGGACCGCAAACTGACACACAGGAACAATTTCCACTAATTGCAAAGCTGCTTGCAAATTAGCGAATGTCGGTTCAGATCTCAGAGACTGAGATATAAAACATGTTCTGGATTCAGATCAACCTGCAGCGTCTGTGAGGTCCATCAGCACCGAAAACCACTTCATGAGGACGGAAAGGCTTTGAGGCTTTGCTTGTGCTCACTCACACTATGAGGCCGTGCTGGAAAAAGTACTTCAGTAGCAAATACTAGACTTTCAGTACTGATGGATCCGCTACAGTCGATACGAGCTCAAACGCTCCTGTATTTGTGTATCTGTGAAGAGCATCAATGGTTTCTATTTACAATGTTTTGCAACATTGTAGCCAATCACTGACATGTTTGCTGAGCGGGTGAACACAACAGCCAATCAGAGGCGTTTAAATCAGAATCCACTAAATTTGTTCAGCGTGAGCTCTAACCGACAATATATAAACACCATCGAAGTAAGAGATTAATAGTGCAGAATAGACAGATTTAATGATTATAACGGGACTTTTCACTCAGTCAGTGAGTTTGAGCTGAACTCAGATCAGCTTCATTCATTATAAAAGGAGCGTCTTTGCTCAGTTTCTGTACGCAACACATTCATAATTTGAATAAAAGTTTTATTCTTCAAGCTACTAAGCATAGACCTCAAAGTTTCAGAAGTGACAACTGTATTAAAACGCAGGACTGAATATGAAATAGCGATGTTTGACATTGTGATAATCATAACAACAGACAAAAACAACCTGATGTGTCAAAACTGCACTGCAAAAAATGCTTTTCTTACTTAGATTTTTTTGTCTAGTTTCCAGCCAAAATATCTACAAATTCTTAAATCAAGAAGGATTTTCTAGACAAGTAAAAATTATTTTTATTATTAAATAACAAGCAAAATAATCTGCCAATGGGGTAAGCAAAATAATCTTGTTTTCTGTTTGAAATAAGATTATTTTCCTTGTTCTAAGCAAAAACTCACTTAATTTTGACTTGTTTTTTCTGAAAACAAGACAATAATTTTTACTTGTCTAGAAAATCCTTCTTGATTTAAGAATTTTTAGATATTTTGGCTGGAAACAAGACAAAAAATCTAAGTAAGAAAAGCATTTTTTGCAGTGTGATCCATAAGTGCAACAAAACTGACACTTATTGTGTTACAGCTAATGTGTTTCTTTGTTATTTTATTACTAATCTTTCATTTGATCATTTTAATGCAATATTTACTTAACTGAACAATATTTGAAGGATACATACTAATGTTTTACATTTTTTAGAATTATCAATAGCATTGATAGCATCCGAAATTGGTACCGAGAACCGTGAAGTTTTAGTTATTGGTACAGACTAGAGGTCGACCGATGTATCGGTTTTGCCGATTAATCGGCACCGATAGTTGATTGCTGGAACTATCGGTTATCGGCAATAATCCATGCCGATAGTTTTCCGGGTTGCGTCCATTGCTGGAGCGGCTGAGAAGGGTCTGCTGTCATTACACAGTGCGAGAGCGGCCTCTAGTGGTTAAAATCACTGACAGCACGTGCTATTTGTTTAGACACGTGATACTGCACGCTGAACAGAGCGGGAAACTTCAGACGCGGATTTAAATGCAGCCGACAGAAAATCCTGCCGCGCCACAGAGCGCCATTCACATAGTTTTCCTTTAAATTACATTATATTGGTCCCGAATCGTTGTTAATGTACATAATGAATTGTGTATTGTGCATTTTCAGCAAAACGTTTGTCTTTCTGTGGCTCTAATAAAGTCTGTGTGCTTCATTTATAGAGCTATAATATAGGTCGCGCTTTCTCTTTCCGTTTGCTCCGTTTTTTAAACACCGAACTTCAAACTCATCTATGCCAAATTGTTCATTCTTGAAGTAAACTTGTGTCCGTTTGGTGATTAAATAAACTGTTTTAGACCGCTGCTCGAATTGAACGCGACGCGTCCGGAGTGTGTGTGATACCGGTGAGTTCTCCTAGACTCAGCGCTGCACTTTTATTTTGATTAGATAATCATCAAGTGTTCAAGAATAGAAGAAGTTAAAGTGTGAGAGTATACATACAATATCCATATGTATATAATATTAATGCTACGGCCTTTGTGTATATATTTAAAGATGTGCATCAAAATGTAAATTCTTTCATCAGTAACTCAACCTCATGTCATTCGAAACCCATAAGGCTTTCATTCATCCTCCAAACACAAATTAAAGTTCATAAAGTTCATAAAGACATAGTAAAAGTAATCTATATGAATTGAGCTGTTTAATCCAAGTCCAACGAAATTATCGCTTCATATAATAAACAGATTTAATTTAGTCTTTTTATTCACATATAAACAATGCACATACATTGAGCACATCGAATATGGTAAATGGAATTGTAGGAGCCAAATGTAATTATTATTTCACCAACAGAGGCGCAGTGTGCACTGTGGTGAGTAGGTGTAGGTCACCTGTTCACATCCTGTGATATTAACCTTCCCTTGATGTTGTATTTTGTATTAGACAGGTACTGGCGGGAACATACTGTATGGTTCTTATCATAGCTCCACATGTTTTTATTGATAGTGTTTTTGTTTTGTTTGTTTATTAAATTAACAACATTGTTTATTTATTTTATGAGTAAAGAACAACTAATGCCCTGGCAAATAGGAAAGCCACTACAGGAAACTTAACTGTATTAGGGATGGGCGGATCGATCCTTAAGTATCGATACTTTCGATACTGATGTTGTATCGAAAGGATCGATCCTCACATAAAAATATCGATTCTAAAGTGCATTTTTTTAGCCATTAATTTTATTTATCAAGAAATTCAGTGCATAAAATAAGCTTCTAAGTGGAAAAATAGACTATATTAGCGAATAATTGTGTTGGATAGAACCATTTCTCCTGCTCATCGGAACACACGCAAATGCTGAAAGACAGAACCAATCAATCACAGACAGCGTTCGCTGCTGACGCATGGCTCACAGTGCTTGTTCAAATAGGGCTGCGTTTCCCAAAAGCATCAGAAGCATAAGTAGATCTATAGAAACCATTGCCACATTATTACATTGTTACTATATATCAAATTAATTCTGAAAAATGCATCACGGTTTCCACACAAATATGAAGCAGCAATAATAATAAATGTTTCTTGAGCAGCAAAT